ATCTATCTGGAAGATGGGTCTTGATAAGGAATCTTTTGGTTTATTGATGTCAAAGATTGTGTCGTTCTAATAAGATACATACCTCGTAGAACTTCACATTATCCCCCTATAACAATTAAACGAGGAAGGGAGCAGAGAATATCTCGATGAAAAGGTGGCGGGTCTCCCAACTCACTCAGCGAGGAACCGGGTTAATACTGTTCGTGTTCAATACCAAGTCAAGCCGTGTAATCCTAATCGGTCTGTCAAAACGCAGTGGCAAGCTCGGCAAGCTTTTCGTTTTGGTGTAATTCTGTTCTACTTTGAGTTCGGGTCGTACAATTACTTACATGGACATTTGTCAGACAGAACAGTATTCGGTAACGCCGATGTCCGCAGACATCCGAATACGCAGATACAGTATCCAAGTACTGGGGAGATCTGACATTGGAAAAGTTTCCAGAGTTTCTATACGGCGTGTAATACGATTTTCAACTGTTAGAAGGGTCTTGTATTTAGACAATCTGAAGTATGACATGCCAACACGATGATATGTATTTACAAGGCGTAGAGTATCTAAATAAATCTTCGTATCCGCGGCTCTCGCGATACTCCAACCATTCTCTGCGCATTTTGTATGCCGAACAGCGATGCATGTAAACCAAGCCACACACGTGCCGCACTTGAACATTAGCTTCCATGATTGAAGCTATTTACGTGAAAATCTTGCTAGCATCGGTGGTACCTATGGCCTTATCAAGCTTTTTTGATAGTTCGTGTTATACGATAGTGTGGTGATAGTATTATTCCTGGCGCTATACTGTAGAATTTTCACATTGAGATATGTGAAAGATTTCAGGCATGCACTACACCCAGACGAAAAGCATCGTCATCGCCGAAGAGGATGGAAACGAAATGTTGGCTTCCTGACATGGATTAAATCCATCCGTATCTGCCGACCATGATGTACAACATACGTCGGGATATAAACACTTGCAATGTTCATCCAATCCTTTCCCCTCATTCAAATATAGAAAAGATCCGTATCCGTGCCCCTGGTGATGATCGCATCTAGGAACAGAGACATGAAAATATTCTTAATAGGCACAGTATCTGCGGTCGTGGCTGAAAATGGCTGAGGATTTTCCGATGAAGGGGTGTTATTGGATCAAAAAAGTCTAAGCGAGCTTGGCATAACATCATTCTCCCAATCTTCCAATTATTTTCCCTTTGCACTTTTCCATCCTTTTCCGAATTTGTGGAGTTGGGTTCACAGCCTTTTCAGGGTTCTCTTTCGTACCTGAAGACTAATGTATTCAATATATTTAAACTTACGCCTGCGATGATTCTGAGTGGATGATGATGGTGATCGTCGAGAACTAGGAAAGAACACTGGGGCGATGACCAGCCACCAACACGATTAATGGTAGTACCATTACTATTTACCCGCCATTTCCAAGATATTGACCGTATGATGTACAAGATCATTGTGGGGTGATTGGCAATGCGATATAATATAAAAGTATCGAAGAAGCTCTTCGTTTGAGTTATCATACAAGCCACTTCAATTCATCATTCACCATCAAAGCAAAGCCTACTTGCAAAGTAACTTATCCTTTATTGTCAAGGCAGTGTTTACATCAAAGCCTCCTCAGAAGAAGTAACTAGAATCAGCTATACCATAAACTTAAGCTACTTAAGGTTCACACATCTCTCATACTTTACCAAACCTCATACCACACACACACACACACACACACACAAACACATCAAAATGTTATTCTCAACCACCAATATCTTGAGCACTCTTGCTCTCCTCACCTCCGTCACTTCCGCCGCTCCCACCAGACGACAAACCTACTCCACTCCACCCAAATCCACATCTACTCACTTCACCCTGGTGGCAAACGTTACCTCCGGCGATCTCGCCATCAACCACTTCGTTCTCGAATCTTATCATACCGGCGCCGGAACTGCATATGCAGTACTTGCCGAAGATAACACCGAAGCCAATCCCCGCATTTTCTACATCAACGGCACCGCCACCGATGTTCGCTTCGGCAATTCCTCCACCCTTACCGATTCCGGCAGCGGATCCGACTCTTTCCCCGAATCTCTCACCATCACACCTTCCGACCCTGCATCTTCGTCTTCCGGCCGTTCAACAGTAGAGATCAATGCCGGAGCTGGTCAGCCTTACGTAGGACTTACTGCATCTCCGATCCAAACCACTCAACTTCATGGATACCAGGGAGAAACTTTCTACGCTTGTAACACCACCCTTCTATATGGTCCTGCTATTCAACTCTTCTACAGAGGATATAGCCAAGAGACCCCAGCTGGATGTTCAGATGTTGCATTGTTGCCTCAATGTAGTGAGGGCAGTGGAGCAGAAGATGCTTCCGCCGCAACAGTTAGCTGTTACGATGATGTAGCCGCTATTGATTGGAGCGTCTACAGCGCATGAGACTTAGGAACTAGTCGTTATGACAGAAGATGAGACAAACATATGATTTATGAGCGGCATGCATGGTAATGAGCATTTAATGGGCGTTTTGGAAAAGGTTACAGGGTTTATGATACCATACCGCTATCGGGTACAAACGATGAATAGATTACTTAATGAAGAAAAGAATTAATGACGAATGTTAAGAATTTTTACTGTTTTATCTGACTTTCTATCTTATGCTTTGGTTTGAGTGACTATCAAATCGATTATTGAAATGATATATTCTTAAACGTCCATGTAAATCAACTACGGTCTCTTGACTAGTAAACCTTCATAGCCTTATGGAAGATCAGTGAACTAAAGTAATGTACACCGACGAAAGAAACCTCGAGATAAGTCGGTGAGAAAGTAATTGATCAATATGAAGATACATTTCCGTAAATCAAAATAGTTACGAGACCCTAACGAAAAGAAAATAAAGATAAAAGGGGTATCTATCCTAATAAAACTCCACCTATACCAGGACTCCTTGATTTTGCTATGTCAATCCCAGATTATTCATCTCCTTCATACCCCTCCAAGGTCATATCCAAATCCATGCCCTCATCCCCATCATCCCACTCGACTCCAATCTTTCCAAACAAGCCTCTAGCCCTCCTCCTCTCATCTTCCCTCTTCTCCATTCCCCTTCTAACCTCTGCCTCTCGTTGTCGTCCCAGAAACCTTCTATCAGCTTCCATCGCTCCCCCTCTCATTTTACCCAACCATTCCTCATCACCTTCCCATTTTTCTGGTACACATAGATTTCCAACATATAGAGCTACCATTCCTCTGAGACGAAGCAGGACTTTAGAATCAGAGTATGGAGGTGTCGTCATCAGTTCATCCATTCTTTGAGCTACCAATTCTGTGGCTACTAATGCGGCTCGTCGAACTTCATCTCTTTCTTCCCAGCGCTTTTCTTTTCGTCGTTTATGGAGACGGTCTTGGCGACGTTGATGGGTTAAGAATGCTTTATCCCCTGGGTCTCCTTCTTCGTCGTTATCATCCATGTCTTCTTCTTCTTCACTGATGTCACTATCACTTATATCTCCATCTTCGTCCTTCTCTGCTTTCTTGGCAATCTTTCGTAAACCATCTTTGTGCTCAAATTGTATTCCATAAATTTCGCACCCAAGCATCGCAGGCCAGAAATCGAGCGCAGTAACTGAACCGTGGAATTGTCGTTTGTAAGGATACTGTAGAATAAGACGTTCGTAATAATCTTTTACTTTGAGAAGTCCTTCAGCTGTACCATATCTTTTTTCTTCGCCTCCCTTGTCTTCCCCTTTTCCGTCTTCCTCTCCCTCCTTTGGTTCTCCGTCATTGCTATTCCCATCATCACCACTCCCTTCTCCTGTATCCTCTTCCCACCATTCCTTTCTCTGTTTATTCGTCACACCTCTCATCAGTAACTCAGCTCCGATCCCCCAAAATCCGGTCTTCCTAATCTCAATTCCTTTCCCCGCAATCTGCATCCGTAAAAGTAAACTCCAAGCCCGTCCTGCCCTCTCCATATCACCCTCTTCCAAATTCCTCATCATAATCGCAACCAATACACTTAAATGTTGAATCTTCAAATTCGACCTCCCAGTCTTCTTTTCTTCCTTCTTACGTCTTTCCCTTTCTCTCCGACTTTTGGCGGATTCTTCTTCGGAATCCTCGTCTTCACCGTCTCGAGATTTTACAGCAGAGTCGCGATCGTCGGAAGTTACAGAATATCTAGAAGGTAAACCTCTATGCGGCCAATTCTTAACGCCAATTTTGGATGGTAATTCTTTATCGAGTCCCAAGCCAGCTAATCGATATTGCATCACCTCTGCGGGCGTTAAACTCAATGGATTTGTATTTTCGGCAGAAGGGTATGACGTTCCTCCATCATCTGTTTCCTTTCCCTTTCCTGAATTGGTATTTGTGTTCGCAATATAATCATTATTGTACTCGTCATCTTGATCGCTATCGCTATCGCGTCGTTTTCGTTTTTGGGATCGTATAGAGAGAGGCGCGAAATGGACTTGAGGAGTGGTGGCAGATGTTTGAGATGTATCAGATATGGGAAGAGTGAAGAGTGGCATATTATATAACATATATGAGAAAAGAAATAGTGAGTCCCTAGATGAATGATTTCTAGATGAGGGAGAGGTTTGATTTAGAAAAAGTTGATGAGGCTATGATTCAGCCTTGGTAGATTGATTCATGTGTGGCTGCTGTGGCTTCTGTGGCTTTACGACAGAGTGCGGCGGAACAGTGTTCAATGAACTCCTGCTTCTTTGCTTGGAGATTTTCACCATACATTACAATTGCTATTCAATAATCCAATACAAGAATCTATTTCGAATCAAGATACTTAGCTTAACATTTGAATTCCATATCCAATCATCTTTCCATCGCTAGGTATCAAGATATACAATTCAAATGAAAACACCTCATATTTCAAATCCTTCCTCTTCACGCCCTGTTGACCCCAAGATAAGAATCCACCTTGTTTCGTTATATCGAACATATTAAAACATCAAAGGTACCTATATCCTCCTTAGTACATACGATGTCGCCTTGGCCAACTGCAAACTGGCTTCTGTAACAAAACGACCCTCATGTTCACCCGCTTCCAATACTCAGAGTTTCCTCCCTTGGTGCGATCGAAAAGCTCTGTGTGTCTATTGTACTTGTCTCTTAATGCTCTAATGCGCTGTGACTTCCAAGAACACATTTCATTGGATATTCTGGCTGCTAGATTGTCAAGGAAACTGGAATTCATCTCTATGCATTCAAGGTCGACACGGGGATCATATCCAACGAGGTCCCGAAAGAAATCATTTCCCTCGACTCTAATTGTCAGAATTTCGAGATTTGGACATGCAGCTTCTATACGTTCGATTGCGTCTATATCATATAAATATTCGCCATCCAGCGACAGATGCTTGACTGGAGTAAGCCCCGATAATTCATGTTCCCAAGTGTCCCTCTCCTCTAACCATAAGTATGTATGTACGATATCTATGTCCGGGTTGAAAGGTAGAAGATTAAGTGCGGTAACGTTTTCAGGGTCTTGTGCCACCTTCCAATCACTCATTGGTTGGAATACAAACGTATAACGTTCTTGTACAACTTCATGTGATTCTTTGCATGCCAATTGGAGGGAATTCTTAGAATTAGACACCCCAAGTAATGGTAGGAGATGCCATGTTCCAATTTCCCAATCGTCTGCAAAGATCTGGCGACCTTCCAGAAGTGCAGCCTTCCATATCATTCGACGAAGTTCAAGCGGCAGACTTGTGAACTTGGGAAATTTGTTCGTCGGATCTTGGGGCAAACTTGATTGGGCTATCTTCTGGTCCAGAGGGACCGCATTCGGGGAATGAGGCCGAATTCTTTCGAAGAGATTGATCACGTGTGGACCGGGTAAAAACGTCAGTTGATCTTTTCGCCTTTGTCTTTGGGCTTTCAGCAATGTTCTCTGAGACCTCGACTTTCCACGGTCTGATAATACCCGCTGGAAATAAAGGTTGGGTAATACTCCCTCATTGAATTTCTGTTCTCTGCCTCTTGTGCAAGTGTGACAAGGTCGGGACTTCAGTAGCACCCTAGGAAGATTTTTCTTACTCTTGAAAGAGTGTTTGGCGCGGTAAGAAAGATTCTTCATCGCGATTCGGGCCATTTCCTCCATATTCTCTACTTCGTTTATCTTTCTTTCATTCGACACCAATCTTTTATGCTGCTCCATCATCTTCTGAGACAGATCATACATCTTCTCGGGCTGAGCGTCACGCGAGTGTCGTTGAGACCTCAAGATGGATCTCCTTTCTAAATAGTAAACTTTCAATAGACTGATTCCATCATTTCTATGAGAAATTCTTCTTTCCCGCTCACAAGAAAGTTTAAGCTGTATAGTTGTCACCAAGTCTTGAGTACGAGTGACTATATCTCTAGCATGGACTGTATTGATCATTCGTTAGCGATGACTAAAATTGGTACATTATTTTGCAAAGAAAGTTCTTTGGACAGGTCTTACTTGTTTGAAGAAACTTTCTATGACTCTTGTTCGTAGCTTTCTTCACGTCATTCAATATGCTTTGGAAAGTTTGGGCCTCCTTGGTCCATATCAAAGGGTCGTTTTCGCGCGGAATATCCATGATGTTTTGTCAGTCGTTTGTATCGATACCAGGTAACAGATCCAAAGTTCTTTTCGTTATGGTACTGAGTTAGGTATTGGTAATAGACAGATTTTATAATTGCAGTATAAACTCAATTTGGCACTAGATAATACTAGAGGACTAGTCTGGCTTCACGTGATGTTACCTCAACCACTAGCCCTAGTCACAAACCCGTGATTATCTGATTACCTATGTCAACGGAGTTAATCCATTCTGTGGGGAAAATTCCGTGGACTTCAGCGGTTAAGTATGGGATTCGTAGCTGCTTCTTAGCATTTGGATTACTATTACGCAGGCTAGAGCACACGGTTCTTGTAGATATGATGGTGTATCATAAAACATGACGCGTGCTTGCGGCGAGGTATGTTCAGTATGCCCACAATGGTATGGCGATGACCTCTTGTTGTAGAATAATATATCTCTACCAGAGCTCTAGTAATGGAAAAAAACACCATATGCATCTTGCTCCTCAATTTCAAGTCGACCTCAGTACCCTCGAGATACCTTAGCCAAGACGACAAAAGCCAAATTACTATTGAACACCGACCTAAACTTGACCCTGCCCTCGACGAGGTCCTCATTCGCACTTATGCATTAGCTGCCAACCCGGTCGATTTGAAAATCGAAGCCTAAAATCTCTTCGTCACTTCCTATCCCAACGTCCTCGGCAGTGACTTTTCAGACACTATCAAATCCGTCGGTTCCTCTATTACGAAATTTGAAGTCGGAGAAAGAGTCACTAGATTCGCGGCAGTTATCTACAATGACAAAATATATCATGGGGCTCGGCAATTGTGTAGAAAAACTGCAACGACGAACATTCCGGATGATTTGAGCTTTGAGGATGCGAGTACTTTTCCCAAGGCTATGGCTACGGATGCCTTGGGGTTCTATCTGCTACTGGACTTTTCGAGAATCCTTGGAAAGGGGGAGAAGATAAATGAAGGAATGTAAGTTTTGGAGGAGCGTCTCCTGTGGGGACTGCCATCATGCAACTTGGTAATCTGGCGTGATGTAAAGTCTTCGCGACGGCTAGTAAGAAACATCACGAGTGCCTTAAATCTGTTGGTGCAACTGCTACTTTCGAATACTGGCATCCGGAGGCTGTAAAAAAATATTGTAGGGGAAGTTGACACTTTGGGTGTTTATCTCACAATTGGATTTGACGCCATCACAGAGAATGATACGTCTCAAGTCTCGGCTGATATTCTATCGGCTACGGGGCATAGTAAGAGCAAACCTGGCTTGACTCTTCCTTGGCCAGAAGAATACCCAAACCTTGAAGACGTTAAAGTCTCCAAGTCCGTGGCTGCTCTTCTTGGCACTAATGCTCAAGATGTGAGTGCGTCATTTTTCAACGATTTCTTGAAAGATGCTTTGGAGAAGAAGTATTTGGTTACCGCTTCGCCGGTAGCGATTATACAAGGGGGTATTGCAAGTGCGCAAAAGTTTTTTGATTTGTTGAAAGAGGGTATCGGTGGAAAGAAACTTGTTGTGAAGGTTGAGTACCTAGGTAGGCTTAGAGGAGTTCTTTCGGTTGGCAAAGGAGTGGTGAGGGAGTTTCTTGGGTATTGTGGGGATGCTTGATTCATTCCCTGAATTCTACAATAGCTAGAACTTGACAGTTGTGCTTGATGTGTTTCATCAGTATTCATGCGGTTTTGGTACCCTTTACATTTCTTTTTTGTTCGTGTTTCATGTTGTTTGTTTGCACCAGCGAAACTTTTTGCCACGCATCGTTACATATCAATTCATTCGTGATCTCTTTCGCGATTCCACCTTTCCCCGTGCTCATTGATCACCACCCTCTTAAAGCAATGACCAACAAGCACCCCTCACCGAGTTGTACAAAGAGCGGTGTACCCACTGATTTACCTCTTACTACCCCACTTCATCATTAGTGGCATCTAGTTACAGCTGCCAGCCGTGCCAGCGAATAGTAGAAACAATCTTTGCCTTCTAGGGCTATACATTTTCTTTACTTTAAAGTATTCGGAAGAAATTGTGGACGATGATTGGTTTAATCATCCAAAGTAAATAGAAGTAAACAATGTTTAGACGTGCAACAAAAATCTCCAGGTATCGTGAAGATTATAGTAAGGGGTTGAAATTTCGCAATCAAGACCGATTGGTGGAGAGGGTGAAGTAAATAATCTTTAGACGTGCAACATAAGAGATGGAGAGGAATGGTAGGTGCATGCAAGATTCCCGAGGCGGGAACTGACCCGCCATTATGGTGTGCACGATCTGAACCCCTGATCTACTCTGGGATGTACATGCTGTATCGTAGTTCTACATGGCATGTTTCGAATTCTTAAGTCAGATGCTCTGTTGCGCGGGGAGGAAAAAGTAAGTGTTGCATTCTATCAATTCTGCTCGGTGTCTATTGAATGGTTACCATACTCGGTCAATTGATTCATATTCGGGGCTGCTTGTTCTATCCTATTTCTTCTTAGATCTGATGGACTGAGTGAAGGAGGGTTCTGAATCATATAAATGTACTGTGTAGTAATGATCACTCGACTGGAATGATCGTCTCTAGTAGCTAGTCCTTAATAGAATATCGATGACAAATTTTGTCTATCCAAATATCGTCATCGCCAGTGTTGATAGCCAAGCTTTGTCCTCATGCTAGACACCTAGTCTTCGATATCGATATATAGTAGAGTTATGATTTGCGGTATTTGTACGGTGAGGAAAGTAAATAGAAAGTTTCGTATTGCGAAGAATATCAAATGTATAGCCCGAATCGGCTAAGTATGAGGATTTCAAGAGATGTTTGAATTTAGGCCTCTCGAGCTTGATATGTAGATGGCTGTTCTGTGGGATTTGCATGGCTGCATGCTGAAGGGTATAATTTCTTTGGCCTTTTAACCGACTGAAGTGTTAAAGTTGTGCACACTCAGCTTAAGAGGAATGTCCAGTGAGTATGTACTATGTAGATATCCGAGCACGAGTATTTGAGCTATGCAAGGGATTTGTAGACTTATGAGAGCAAATTTGAGTGATTCTGACGTGAGGGTTCAATCAGAGAGGCTTTCTAGATATTCACTTTGGCTCAAAATGTACTGTCCAGTCTTAGCTGAAGCTTTGCGACGGTATGAGAAGTGATGGCGTGGAATTCAATTATCATCGGGCTGAATCTGAACTTTCTGTTAGCAGCCCGAGAATTAATCGACGTGTGAATGATTCCAGTCTTGAAATTAAGAGAGAGAGATATATATTTCCTTGGTTTATGAAAACTCCAGCTCTTTTTACTCCCATATTCTTTCGATTGGAAACTAAAATGAGTTGGCCAGATACCATGTGCATCACTACACAGCGTTTATTCAGCATGATTCTTACCTTCGAAGATTATCTTCCGCGAAAATGAAGATGGTAAACAGAAGCCTGGATACTAACCAGCCAATCTCAAATTTCCGAAACTCATGAACTTTCGAGGTTTATGGTCGACTTCCCACAGTCTCTGGCATGCGACCGGACTCTTATGAATCTTACTTCTGGTGATGCGGCTTAATCAAATATAACAATTCAAAGCGCAAAGGAAGTTGAGAATAAATAAAACTTTTCTCACGTGGACATGATATTGACAACAACCAGACTCAGTGTATAAAGTCGAAGCGAAGGTTTTCGAATACGGGAGGAATGCATTCAACATCACAACGGAAATGGGAGCTAATATATAAGTATATCATGAAACCAGAAATTCTATACTATCTAAAGTTTCTACTATAAGAAATTTTCTAAAAGAACAAGAGCGATTTGTTTTTTCGCTTGAATCCCCCAAAGTACGCCGTATACGTGCAAAACGCGTTGAATCGTGAAGGATTATGGATCATATGCAATTGTAAAAGTAAACTCCTTCCCAGCCGATACCAAAAACCCAAGATAATAATACTAATTATAAGGAAAAAACATGAAATCTAAAGGCAATTGTGCCATGATATAAAAGTTGATTTTACATCTTCAGAGCTTGCTTCACGAGCTTGGCCAAATCGTTTGTCTGTGATGATTAGTCAGCAAATTACCCCACATACATTGAACTTCAGAGAATTAACTTACGATTGGATCTCTCATCATCGTGAAATGATTTCCACCTGTGCTCATACATTTGATGTTTCCCTCTCCGACTAACTTCTCCCATCCATTGTGCCCGAGATCTTTGCGATCATGGGTCAACCAGTCCATGGAGTTGGGCATCCTCACCTTGGGATCCCACTCTGGCTTAAGGTCATCTTCCTTGTGGACAATACCATCACGAGCCCAGATGGCGATGGTTTGTGGCATGTTGACAGTGTTGATGGATGGAAGAGATCCCAAGTGATCAGAGTAGGCAGTGAGTTCGCGTACGGTGGAGAAGAAATGGGGAAGGAGCCATTTTGGCAATGACTCAAGTCCACCATCGCCAAGAAGACCAACCTTGGCACAATATTGATGGAAGGAAGCTGGTAAGGCCTCAAGTCCAATAGGGAATGGTGAATCGATCAAGACGAGTTTCTCGACCTTCTCACCCTTTGCGATCAACTGGCGGGTACATTCGTACGCAAGGACACCTCCGGCAGACCAGCCTCCAAGGAGATATGGTCCATGTGGTTGACGACGCTGGATTTCGGCGAGGTAAATCTGAGTGACTGCTGGGACACCGATATTGAAATCTGTGGGGTCTTTCATGAAAGGGCAATTGAGACCAAACACAGCTAGATCTTGGTCGATTTGAGGAAGCGGGGCATACGAAGAAGCGACACCAGAACCATCTGGAAGAAGGAAAAGTGTGCGAGTTGCGGTCTTTGGATTACCTTGCAAAAGGATAGACTTCGATGGAGGGTACTGGGATACATTGATAGGTTTGGCAACTTGAGTTGGAGCAGCTTGTTGTACTGATGCTGATGTGGAAGTCACCTTGGTAACCTTTGTTGTCTTCTTAACCTCAACAACCTTTGGCTGCTTGGCTGCTCTCAGACCCAAAGTTGTTTCAATCTTTTCCACGCTGGTGTTCTCGACCAATAGCTCGGAACTCAGATTCAGGCCAGTCTTCTCTCTGAGCGCACCCAAGATGCTCAAACTCATGAGAGAATCCATACCCATTGTAGCCAGATCTGTGTTATCAGTTATCTCCTCAATCTCAACGCCCATCTCCTCCGCAATGGTAGATCTGATTATTTGAATGATTATTGCATTCTCGCTATCTCCATCACCATCGACGGCAGAGCTTTCAGGGTCGCTTTCAACTAGATCAAACCCGTCATCCCCAATTTCGCTCGAACGGCTAGAAACCATTTCCGGGGTAGACATTCCTGAACTTTCAGCACTGTTATCGTCTTCGAATCTCGTCATGTAAGCTTTGAGATGGTCTACAGTAGGCTCATGTTCAAAGACACTGCTCTGGAAGTCAATCTCAAGATCTTCACGGAATCGGCCAGAAATGCTCAGACCAAGAAGTGAGTCGACGCCCATATCAGAGAATCTCATCGGGCCTGCCAACTCATCGACATCGCATCCGATCTCCTCAGCCATGATTGCCAATGCTTTGGAGAAGATACCCCTTGAAACTGGTTTACTGACAATTTTGAGATCAGGCTTGGAGACAGCCTTTGATGGTTTAGATGCAACGGCTTTGGTTGGAGCTGGAGCTGCTTTGGCACCACCACGAGCTGGAATAGCTTTTGGTGCAAGTAGCGTCTGAAGAAGAGTGCGGGGTACGCGCTGGAATTTGATACCACCAACGACTGCGATGATTTCATCCCCTTCAAAGACGTATACATCACCAGCAACCATCTCGCCACCACCTGGTACCTTCTGCATCTTGATGTAAGATCTGTACTCTTTGTCGGCTGACATGTTCTTGGCGAATCTCATCGACTCCCATCCGTGCGAAATATAGACGTGCTTGGTGGAATCGACAGCATCGTTGGCATTCATGATGAATCCGGAAATGTGGCAAACACTGTCGATCCAGTATGGACTCATGAAGAACTTGCCATCATTTTCTGATGTTTGGAATTGTACTTTGGCGGTTGCCTCACATTGTTCACTCCAAAGATATACTTCATCCATTCCACGATATTGTTGAGCGTAGTCGACAAGAGCGCCAAATAATTTGTACGCCATTCCTCTTTGAACCTTGTGAACCTCTTTGTGGCTCATCAAAGTCTCAATTCGTCCTTGAACAAGGAACTTGCGACGGTCCCAATCTTTCAACCATGATGATGAATCCTCAAGAGTCACTTCACACTTGGTTTGTTCAACTGGCTTTCCATCTGTTCCGAATGTGCGGAAGTTGACGGTTCCGCGTCGATGAGTAAGATCAAGCTTGGTCTCAATTTGAAGGATGTGAGTTTTGGCGTTCTTATCGAGAACCAATGGCTTATGGGTTTCCATACTTCCGACATTGAAACCAACAGATTTCGCATCTGGCTGAGCGAGCTTAAGTGCATAATCGCAGATAGTCAAAGCCATATCACCATAGATGGATGATGGGAAGAGTGGTTGGCCATGAACCAAGTGACCAGAAATGGCGGCCCGAAGCTTTGGTTCCATAAGGTCAGACTCCGCGACAACATTAACGTTATCCTCATCAACAACCTCGG